GCCCGCCGCCCCGCAGCCGCGGGAGCCCTTCGCGCCCAGCCACGGCAGCGCCTTCCACCTGCCCGAGCCCCAGCACGCCGCCGCGCTCTACTACGCCAGCTCCACGCTGCCGGCGCAGCGGGTGAGCTCCCCGCTGCCCGCCCAGCCCGGCGGCTCCCCCACCAAGCTGCCGCGGGCCGGCTCCGCCGCCGAGGGCGCCGCCTACGCCACCGCGCAGCGCCTCTCCTCCCCGAAGCAGTCCCCCAGCCGCCTGGCCAAGTCCTACAGCACCAGCTCGCCCATCAACATCGTCGTCTCCTCGGCGGGACTGTCGCCGTCCCCCATCCGAGTGACCTCCCCGCCCACCGTCCAGTCTAATATTTCCTCCTCTCCTATCCACCAGTTAAGCTCCACCATCGGCACTTACGCCACCCTGTCGCCTACCAAGCGGCTGGTTCACGCTGCCGATCAGTACAGCAAGCATTCCCAGGAGCTGTACGCCACCGCCACCCTGCAGAGACCCGGCTCCCTCGCAGGTAACACCGCGGCCGGCAGCGCCTCGGGTCCGCGGGGGTCGGGGGTGCGCGGTGCGGCCGCGCCCGCGGAGGGGAGGGGAAGGGAGGCGGCGAGGGGCGAGGGACGGCGACAGACGGGCTGCCAGGGCCSCCGGCCGAGCACGGGAGCGAGGGAGCGGGGTGCGTTTGACAGAAGAACGGTGCGTGGGAGAATTGCGGGTGGGTTTCATCCCGGGTCGTGTCCGGAGAGGCTGCCTGCCCGCTGGAGCTGAAGTACCTGAGTTCTCCCGGCCCGTCCCGCCTTCCCGGCGCCGGGCAGGTGTGCGTGCTGCCGGGGGGGGTGCGGGGCTCGCCGCGCTCCCTGCTGTGACCCACGGTGCGGGTGGGGGGTTTGTTACCATGGCGAATCCCTGCTCTGCCGCGATCAGAACCTCTGAGCCTTTTGCAGGGAATCGCTCTTCCCCGGATTTACAGGCGGCTCTGGCGTACTTGACAAGTTTGGGGTTACTTAGCGGGAACTCCCGGTGCACCGAGTCGTGCCGAGTAAGAGGTGGCGGTGATTTGGCTCCGAATGCTCTTTGGGGAGCAGGCTGTTACAGCTGATTTAATGTCTCTGTAAACGCAGACTTTGAGCAGATCTAGAAGTGAGATGCTGGTGCGCTGTTCCCTAAACCATCTCTCTGCTAAACTGAGCATCCTTCAGGGGTGGGTTTTTTGTGTTCTCAAAATTTCCAGTTTCATTGCTATAGTAACAGCTGCTATGCTCATATGTTCTCTTGTGTGACATAAATAGATTTGAAGATAAATAGGATACATAAAAAAGTTTGGCTGAGTTTAGCAGTCAGGTACATAAGTTTCTGCCTGGAGTGAAGACCTCACCCCCTTTCTCCTCTCACCCACCTCCCCTCCCCCACTCCAGCTGTTGTCAGCATTGTGTATAATTCCAGTGTGTCTAAACACACARAGTGAATTAACTAATAATAAAATACAGTTTTCATCTATCTCCTTGTAAAAACTATTGGCTGGAGGTTTTTTTCCTATTTAAAGGGCAGGGATTTAAAAACTTTTATATCTTTGCATATATATATGTATGTATGTACATGATATATGTATCACCCCATTTAATTTCAGAATGAGTAAAGTGGCAGTATCATTAAATTACGGTAAAATCAAAACCTTAGGATGTTTATATCAAGCTTGTTGTGAGTGAGTCTCAGAATACTAAGTGGTTTATTTAGCAATTATATTAACACAGCTTCTCCCTGCTGTAGTCCAACACACTGTTGGCCACACATATTACTGTCTTTGTACRGTGGAAATTTAGAATTGCGACAGACTTTGTATTTTAGGGAGTTTTCTAACTTCATCCTTTAGCAAGAGTTGGTTGAGTCTAAAAAGGCATGGACAGAACTGTCAGCATTAAAGGAACAGAGAAAAAAAATAAATTTAAAACTTATATACCTGTGGCTATGAGCTATTAGTATTTCTCTTATTTTTCTTACCTTTGTTCTAGGATAGGACTCTTTGTGTTGGGAAGTTTCTAACAGTCACAGTACTTTTTCCTGTTTATGTACTGTTAGCATTGGAATTTGTGTTGTATTYGGGGTTTGGTTTTGGGTTTTTTTAAGAAGGCATCTTTTGTAGCATTGCAGCATCAGATCTGTAATGATAGCTTAGTCCAAAACTTTTCTGTAGGGTTTAAGGTCCAACATGATGACGCTGAAGTGCAAGAGAAGGTGTTCATCCTGGACTAGATCCAAGTTGAAATGTGGATTTAGGTTTTTTTGGCCTTCTTGGCCAATAGTGTTTCTACAGGCAGGCATTTCTAATAGGATTTTCTACTCTGTTTTGAATAAAAGTTWAGGAACTGACATTCATTTTCTTGGWTTGCTTTTAAGTAAAGGCTTTTGATAAGAATTCTGCATCTTGCATAACCTGCGTCTTTTTAAAGCCTGCTGCAGGAAGTTGCCTGATTTACTGATTTATGGTTTTGGTGAAAGAAAAGCCTATAGATGATACATGCATCGAGAAAATGGCTGGTGTATTTTGTATGGTGGATTTTTTTTTTTTATGGGAGGGAAATAGTGATTGACCATTTGAGTGGWTAAGTTTGTAAAAATTGATAAAGCAGCACTAACTTTTCCAAGTGCTTGGCTGATCAAAACAAACATAACAATGTTCTGGGTCACTCATCTCGTAGAGATTTGGTTTTAAGATATGTAAAAACCCTCRTTGTTTCATTTAATAATAAATGGAAAATCCTGTTACTCAAATAAGTATTAAGTGGCAGACAGGCAGAGAGTATTGCTACTTGAAAGAATCAGTGTAAGCAACAGTGTGTTAGCAAATACCTTTTTTTTTTTTCCCCACAGTGGTGATATGCCTTTCAAGAAGTCCTTGAAAGGAGCTTTATCACGTGATCAGTTCTTTTGCAAAGGTTTCCTATTGTGTGCTCCCACCCCTTATTTTCCATTGCCATTCTTATGCATGTTCCTCATGGCCTCCCTGCCATCCCGGAGTCACACATTTGCTAGCAGTGTTAAGTGCCTGACTAATCTTCTAGACTTTCACTGGCTTCACTGAAGTCAATGGACTCCTCAGAGGCTTAAAATTAGCATATGCTTTAGAGYTAGCCAGGATCAGATGTTACAGATACTACTAAGGCAATCTTAATTTCTTCTTTTTTTCTGTAAGTATTTTTGTTTGGAACAGGTTTCGATTTTGAGCTGTATGTATTTTAKATTTTTGCATGAGTTTTTCAGTCATTGTGTTACAAGTCAAACCYCCTGAGAAAGAGAGCAAGCAAGTGTATTTTGAGAAGCTAATATTCAATAAATAGTGTTTTGGCTTCTTGTTCAAAAMATCGAAAGATTAGTTGAAGTTTTTTGGGATTTTTGAGAGAGAGAGAGGAGGAGGAGGAGGAATGGAGAAAGTTGTCACATTGCACTGATTGATGGTTTGCCTGCTGTGATTAATGTGAAGCTGCATTGGTACGTATGTGTCATCAAAGGCATGATGTTAAACTAAGTAATCTTTTTTATATCTGGCAATAAAAAATAAGTATTTGTARTAATTACTASAAATACAAATAATGCATTTGTTTTAATTATTTTTGCATGATATAGAAAGTGGTCCTGGAGTTATCTAGTTCATGATTACTACTGGGTTTCRGTGTGCTAAACAAGCCAAACTGTATCAGAGCCAGACTTAGATATTTATAAGAGAAGACATTCAGATAAGATCCATTTTTTGAAAAATTCAAATGAAAAGTTACATAGATTGCCCAAAACATAATCTGTGCAAGACTTAACTGAGGAGATGGCGTTATTTATATTAATTTCCTACAAATTTGATTATGAAACAACTTGAAATTATAAAAATGGCAWTTCTTAGACTTCATCCTGAATTTCAAATGAGACATGCAACAGCGTGCAATGACTCAGTTTTAACCGAGTAACCTTAGAAACGTCTTCAGAAATGGCTTTTAGTCTAGTTATATTTGAGCTGTTGCCACTGCCAAGTGTGTGTGTGTATGGGTGTGTGTGTACATGTGTATATAGTGGCTCTGGTGAGTGTACATTTGCTGTGTTTATTCTTAGTCTAGCTGCTTCATTGCTATGATCTGCAATTACAGTTTTAGAAGTACTTTTCTGCTCTTCACTGCTCCAAAGCATATTTGACCGTCTGTTCAAGCAGCAATCCAAATCCAGAAAGCTCGGTTTGTAAATACATTCTTGCAGCCCCCACACCTGCACTGAGCTTCAGAATGCTGCTGGGAGCCAAACTCACCAAAGCAGCCCTGGAAGGAAGAGAATATAGGACAGCAAGCAGCAGAAACATGGGGAAACTCTTTCAGGAGGCAGGTCATGGTGCAGGTGCCCACTCTTCATGCTCTTCTGAAGCATCTCCTGCTGGGCAAAATCAGAGAGACAGTACTGGAGGAATACTGAGTTTATTTAGGAGCAAAGGGAAAGGAGTCAAAGTGTGCTGTTCAGGTGATTTGTGCCTCAGGTTATGCAGCTGGGACCAGCTCCGATGTTACAGAGCCACTCCTACCTCTTCATCCAGTTTGGGGAAAACTAGAGACACATAAAGAAATGGAAAGCAGTTTTATGCATTGGCTTATTACAAAAAAAAACCAAAAAAA